AAGTACACAGTGCCACACACCAATCTAATACTTGGGGGGGGGAGGGGAACCGGTCGTGGGGCCTGAACTCTGGGCCTGGGTGCTGTCCCTCAGCTCTTCAGCTCAAGGCTAGTGCTCTACCACTTGAGCCACAGTGCCACTTCCGGCTTTTTTCTTTTTTTGTTTATGTGGTGCTGAAGAATCGAACCCAGGGCCTCAGGCATGCAAGGCAAGTGCTCTACCACTGAGCCACCTTCCCAGCCCCACCAATCTAATACTTGGAATGATTTGTAAATTCCACTCATTAGGATGAATGAAAAAGCCAGTTCAAGAATAATATCTACTGAATTCCATTTATATAAAATTATTATTATTATTATTATTATTTGCCAGTCCTGGGGCTTCAACTCAGGGCTTGGCCACTGTCCCTGAGCTTCTTTTGCTCAGGGCTAGCACTCTACCACTTGAACCACAGCACCCCTTCCAGCCTTTCCTTTTTATGTGGTACTGTGGAATTGAACCCAGTGCAAGCAAGGCAAGCACTCTATCATAAGCCACATTCCCAGCCCTAAAATTATATTTTGTGTGTAGAATTTGAACTCGAGGCCTAAGCACTATAGCTTTTGTTTTCTTTCTCAAGGCTGGTACTCTACTACTTCAGCCACAATTCCACTGTCAGCTTTTTGGCATTAATTGGCAATAGTCTCTCACAAACTTTTCTACCCAGGCTGGCTTTGAAACACAATCCTCAGATCTCAACTCCTGAGTAGGTAGGATTACAGGTGTGAACCTACAGTGCCTGGCTCTATATTAAAAATGCAAATTGATCTATATAGAAAGTAGATCATTATAAATGATTGGGGACAAATGGAGGAGACATGAGGAAGTTGTGGGAAGGGATGAAGTGGGGAAATTACAGAGGTAAAACTTGCTTGTGAGTTTCATATAATTGTATAGATGAAATATACATGACAATTACATTTCAATAAAGCAGGGTTTAAAAAAAAGAATAGTTTGTTTCCTTGTGATGAGTTTACTATTATATTTTCACCAATTCATGTCTAGATGTATTTCAACACAGAACTGAACAATTTATTCAAGGAACTGGATAATGGAACAAAAGGCAAAGTATCCACTTTTGTTGGGAAATTTGTAGTACATTAAATGTTTCTTTGGGGGGAGGGATCCATTATACTTTTCTCAAAAGAATATTTTCCCCATCAAAGGTAAAGGCAGGAAAAAAAAGTACAGGCTGACATCTCAGCTGAAGTGTTCATGAACTCTATACCTTTTAGCAACGTCTTGATATGGCAAAAATATAGGATACTGGATCCATTTTTATTTGGGGGGGGGGGCTGGGGTTTGAACTGGAGGTTGAACTCAGAATCCCATGCTTGAGGTGTAGGCAGTTACTCTATTGCTGGAGTTATGCCTCCAGCCTAGGATTGACTCTTTAAAAAAGGAGACTGAACCCAACACAAGTGTCTCACACCTATAACCCTAGCTACTCAGGAGGCAAAGATCAGGAGGCTTGTGCTTAAAGGCCAGCCCCAGCAAAAAAGCATAGAAGATCCCATCACAACCCAAACAAACAAACAAAAAAGCTGAGCACAGCAGTACAAATCTGGCACTACAGCTACTTGGGAAACAAGAATAGAATCTAAGGTTCAAGGAGGTAGGATGTAAAGGCAAATAACCCTATTCCTAAAGATAAAGCAAAAATGACAGGGGCATGGCTCAAGTGGTAGAGTGTCAGCCTAGTGAAGCACAAAGTTCTGAGTTCAAACCCTACTCACACACACACACACACACACTGTCCCAGCATTCAAAGAGGCTGAGCTGTGAGGACCACAAATTCAGAGCTAGCCTGTGCCAGTGGGATCCTATCTAAGCAGAGAGAGAGAGAGCGATCAAAACTAATATCTTATTGGAGGGAGTTACAGAGATTTTCTTAGTAAATGATTTCCCAGTGGTCAGCTATGAGCACTTTTTGGACAATAAAGTTTGAGTTCTGGTTTGCCTAAGTAGCCAGCTGTTGGTCCACATACTCAGGGCAACCTAAGATTTTCATCATTTTTGCATCTCAAAGCAAAGCCCAGGAAATTATTTAAATGTAAATGATGATCTATATAAAGCTATTTTTAAGCCTCTTATTTCCCTATCATGGCTGCACAGAATCTGTAAGAGAAATCAATCTTTGTTTTGTATTATGTGTATTATAACAAACCAAAACTAAAATTTCTCCTTCAAACCTAACCAGATTAAGCTACTTCAATAAATTTTATTTTTTGCCTGTCCTGGGGCTTGAACTCAGGGCCTGAGCTCTGTCGCTGAACCTCTCTATGCTCAAGGCTATGTCTACCACTTGAGCCACAGCGCCACCTCCAGCTTTTTCTATTCATATGGTACTGAGGAATCGAACCCAGGGCTTCATACATGCTAGGCAAGCCCTCTACCTCTAAGCCACATTCCCAGTCTCTCAATAAATTTTAAAGGGATGTGAACAACAAAAAAAAAAAGAGCCGGGCACCAGTGGCTCACGCCTGTAATCCTAGCTACTCGGGAGGCTGAGATCTGAGGATCTAGGTTCAAAGCCAGCCCGGGCAGGAAAGTCCATGAAACTCTTATCTCCAATAAAGTGGTGCTGTAGCTCAAGTGGTAGAGTGCTAGCCTTGAGCTGAGGGACAGCAGTCAGGCCCAGAGTTCAAGCCCCATGACTGACGAAAGAAAGAAGGAAAGGAAGGAAGGAAGGAAGGAAGGAAGGAAGGAAGGAAGGAAGGAAGGAAGGAAGGAAGGAAGGAAGGAAGGAAGGGAAAATGGTTGGTACATGGAAGTAGGTGATGAAGCCTCACAGCAAAGTGGAATGGAAATTAGAAGTATGGAGGAAGAAGATATTGAGGTCATTAAACAGTCTCCAGGCTGGATGCTGGTGGCGCAGGCCCGTAATCCTAACTACTTGGGAGGCTGAAATCTGAGCATCCAAGCCAGCCAGGACAGGAAAGTCCGTGGGACTCCCATCTCCAATTAACTACCAAAAAGATGTAAATGGAGCTGTGGTTTAAGTGGTAAAGCACTAGCCTTGGGCAAAAAAGCTCAGACAGTGCTTAAGCACTGAGTTCAAGCCCCAGGGCAGAAGAAAAAAAAGTTTCCAGATTGCTGAAATAATTGAGAATCAGGAAAGAGTAGAAGAAACAAGGAAGAAAGCCTTATTAAGGTTCTATAAGGTAGTGGGGAATTCTTGAAGAATAAGCTGGCAAGCAAGAGAAAAGTCTAGGGAGGCTGGGTGAGCTGTGTTGCTGTTTTCCTGAAAGTAACTCCAGGTGCTGCTTTTTGTTCTTGTTTATTTCTTCAGCAAGAAGAAAACCCTAGAGTCAGAGGTGACAAAGTGTCTGGATAGAAAAACAAGGTTTTGAGAAGGAAATGCATAAAGTAATGACAAGGGACTGGGTAAACTGGATGCAGCTGAAGAAGGCTGTTTCAAGGCTGGATTCTTTCCGTTAATGAAAAGGGGAAAAATTAATTTTTATGTAATGATCAAACCTTTAATCCCTAAAAAACAAAAAAAAGCTATCTATTTTTTTAAATATCCCTTTACATTTCTTCTTCATGCCAGCGAAAGGCAATTTAATTTTCTTCAGGTACTGTGCTGTCATTTTTATAATTTCTTGGCTCCTCTGAAGGTCTTTACTGACTTATACTGTCTGTACCCTTTCTATGCTCCAGCAAGTGTTAACCAGGTCCTTTCATTTGCATTTCGTCTAGCAGATTGCTATCCATGATTGACACCTGATGTGGCACTTCTTTGAAGGTGAGATGTGCATGCTTTCTTTCAAGGTTTCATTTACAATTATAGAAATGTTGAGAATTCTGCCATGCTTTTCCACCCATTCTACTTCAAGATTATTTAATAGATCTTTGTGTTAACTTGCGTTTTTTTGTCACTACATCACTCCTAAACCTACTACCTTGTTCTATCCCCCACTGTTCCTCATTTTTCAACCCACATTTATCGCCGGTGTTCTTTGTAGGGCCAGAAATCCAGGGTCAAGGCCAATTGTCAAAGCCAAGATCCTGAACCCCCTCTGCTGTTGATTAACATGAAGTCCAGCACAGCCTTCTCACCTTCAGTGAATTTGTTTCCCCCATCACCACCAAAGAAGTTGGTCAGTGTTTGCTTTGTTCCCACTTCACATTATATGAAGTAAATAGGTTGTGATTGATCTTCTACTTGGATGTAGGAGCTTCATTGTTTACCTCCAACCACCTACAGAATGACTGCAATGTGCCAAAAAATCATATATAAGTTACTTGTCTTTTTAACCTTTGGGGTAGATGAAGAGACTACATGCAACTAAGAGATATAAATGAGAATTAGCTGGATCTAAAATTCCATACAAAATACTGATAGTTTTCCCAGCCCTGGTGGCACATACCTGCAAGCACCCAGAATGCTGAGGTAGGAACATCAAAAATTCAGTGAGATCAAGACCAGTCTGGGCTTAAAAATGAGGCTGTCTCAACCTCCCCCCAGAACAAATTTTAACTCAGCCTGGGACTATTGCCCATTTCCAAAGAGCTGCTGATATCAGGCTGGCCACCCTCTGGGGTATTTAAGCATATGTGTCCTAATGAAAGTACAAATGAATGTTAGAGGAGCACAGTCAATAATTTCTAAAGCCAGGTGCTGGTGGCTCACGCCTGTAATCCTAGCTACTCAGGAGGCTGAGATCTGAGGATCGCAGTTCAAAGCCAGCCTGGACAGGAAAAGTCTATAAGACTCTTATCTCCAATAAACCACCAGAAAACTGAAAGTGGTGCTGTGGCTCAAGTGGTAGAGTGCTTGCCTTGAGCTGAAGAGTTGAGGGACAGCACCCAGGTCGAGTTCAAGCCCACGACTGATCAAAAAAAAATCTAAATAGTGGGGTCCAAAGGCCAAAGATGGGAAAAGCTCAGAAGCAACCTCCCCAACTCTTGTTCATGGTTTTGGGAGACCCACTCCCTTACACAGGAATATGTCACTCTGTCCTTCCATGCCTTTATTGGTGACAGCAATGGACAAGATCAATGTCAGGCATAGCAGACATCCTATCCCAGCACCTAGGGTGCTAGGCAGGCCTTGAAGAGTCACTGGCACACCCAACCCCAAGCCCAACACCCACTCTACCCAGGCCATGTTCCCGAATGGGCATGTCCCCGTCTGTCTAGTTTGTATGTGTGGATCAGTCTGTCTGAGTGTCTGAGCCGCTGTCTACAAGGTCCCCCCATCCTTGGCACATGGTAGGGGCTGTTGGGAACACAGCGTGACATCCCCCGGACGACCACAGGGCTCCGCTGCTGACCATGGGAGACAGGGCCAGAGACTGGAGGTGGCAGGGGGCCAGGCACAAAGTTCACTCCAGGGCCACATCCTACAAAAGAACCAGTTATTATCAGAGTTGGGCTTTGACCAGAGTGAGCACAGCTCTGCCCACAAGCAGCTCTACTTCTCCAGGGTTTCTCGGGCTTTTGCTTCTCCATCTACAAATTGGTATACTGCCTCTCCTACCTCCAGAGTGGGAAACTGGGAGAAGTAATGAGTCTGCTGTAACAAACCCAATCCTGGAGGCACAGGGATACCCAACTCCTCTCTGACTGGGCCCAGGAGGCAAGGCTGGGGAACATGCAAGGGGAGGTTGGGGGTATGAGGGGAGGCTGCAGAGGCACCTACCTAAGTTGGATGGCATCGAGAAGTCCTCCGTTGAATTATAATTGAAGAATTCATGAGGTGGGAAGGGCTGGCCCGGGATAAATGAGGCATCTTGGGGAAGAGGTGGGAACAAGGGAGGTGGCGAGGGCTGAGGAAGGGGGTAGGGAAAAGATATAGGAGGGGGCAAAGGAGAGGGTGGGGGCAAGGCCAGCTGTTCCCCGAAGTCTGGGGGCTGCCTATGGCTTCCCTGGAATGGATGATCCGTCTTTGACCAGTCCTCAATCCATGGGTCTAGGAATGGGATGATTGTTTTAGGTAGGCTTAGGAAGCCAGCTTGCCCTGAACTCTGCCTACTCATACTTCCAGAACTCTATTCCAATCTCTTCAAGAATAAGGCCACCAGCCAGAGCAACCTGATTTTCCTCATTCTTTACCCAGGTTTCCTCATTCTCTTCCATTCTAGACCAAGCTCAAGGTATGCCCCCTTCTTTATTGCCTCTCTCAGCTACCTGTGTTCTAACCTTATGCAACCCTCCCAAGCCTACTACTTCCTTTGCTTTCTCAGTCCCTGTATCTTTAGCTTGTTCTTAAGTTATCACCAGCAACATTTTCCCCATTTCCATACCCTCATCAATCACTCACTTCTTTTTGACCCCATGTCTTCAACATTTTTTCCTACTAAAAGTAACTGCTCACAAATGTAACAAAGTCCTTTCTTCCTGACAGCTACCTGGTATATATAGCTAAAAAAAACTCCAACCTCTCCCAAAGTGCCTCTACCCCATCTCCTTGTTTCCCCATCATCACTCTTCCCTGTCAATGCAAGCCATGAACACTGCTCTGTTTTCTCCTTCACAGTTCACAATTCTTGCCTTTCCCTCTATTTCTGCTAGGTACCACGCACTGCAAGTCTACTGTTCTCACATTGGCCCTAATCAAATGCACCAATTCATCCTCCTACTTCAGATCAACTGTCCCTTTGCTGTTCTTCATTTCTATAGCTCCTAAGTTCAATTCAGAAAGCCAGACCAGTATAAACTAACCTTAAGCCTTTAGAACTTCCCTTTCTTTACTGGGGAACAATTCTCTCAACTGAACATCAAATAAATGGAACCATTTTAAAATCTAAGTTCTAATTCACCTTCCTGGTGCTCCAACTCCTAGCCAGTAAGCCTAGAGATCTGCCTCTATGCTATTTCTGGCCTCTGCTCCCTACACTCTCCAGTGCTACAATAAACAGCATTAAGATGATTTGTGTTTTGAATGCAACAAACACCGTATTCCTGACGCTATGTACAGAGCAACTGTGGCAGACAATGGAATGGAGGGGGTAAGCTGTTGATGAGTGAGGTAGGAAGCTTGCCCTTTGGGGAAATGATGCAGAGGAGTAGATAGGTAAATAACCAGCCATGATGTACCTTTATGAGCAGGCAAGAGCTGGGAGGTTAACAAAGAAACAAATGTTCAGCAGCAGAGGATATCACAGCTGAGATCCTATGAAAGAAATGCCTCCAAGATAAGCAGAAGTTCCCAGCAATGACCACAGATAAGGCCAGAGGAGAGCTGCACTAGGCTGAGCTGAAGAGCCTATGGCATGTTGTCTACTAAGTCCATCACCACAAGACCAACCTTCTCTCAAGAACCCCAGAGGTTACATCATGTAATATCATCTTTTCATCTTTAGCACTACCCCAAGCCCAACCCATAGGCTTTCTTGCCTCTGCCACACTGCATGGACCTTTCCTCAGTTTCTGTTTTCCTATCTCTTATACCCATGTCTAGCTAGAAATAACCTTATTTTTAACTTTTGACACCCTGCCTTATATAATCAATGCTGGCACAAACACATTAGTGTACACAGAAGGGATTACATGTTAGACTGTAAAGAACTGAAAATCTGGAACTAAAATGTTACTGCTGTGCACCAGGGAACCAGGAAGGAGCACTCAGGAACAATAACAATTGAAGGGATCCTTACTCTCCATGCATCTCTGTTCCATTCCTTTTCTGAGCCTTATGCTCTGAGGACCCTACCTGCATGGCTACCCGTTCCCTCTGTGGCAGGGCTCACCAGGGGGATAGTCTCGCCTGGGTAGTTCCACACCCCATGCATCGGCTACGTGGGCCAGAAGCAGGTGTGAAAGGTGGCGGTGTGCGTGCTGGTCCCAGTGAACACCATCTCGATGACGGTGCCGAACTGCATGTCGGAAATGAAAGTGGAGGTCCAGGACATCAAAGCAGTGATCCCCAGCTAGGGTAGCGCTGTAGAAGTTCCCTTCAACCACATCACGACGCAGAGAGCCGGCCAGAGGCTGGAGCTGATTGAGAAAGTGCGGCCTCTAAGAGGACGCCCTACCAGCTAACGGCCCCATCCTTTGACCAGAAGGGCCCCAATCACTTGCCTCTGGAAGAAGGAAACCCCCAGTGACACGCTCCCCCAGGGGCATTGCCATGTTCCACACCAGTAGACAGGAATCTGGCAACACTTGGTCCATGCGCACAAATACTCGTTTTAGGTTCTCTCTGTAGCTCTCCATTGAGTAGCGGCCATACCTGTTAAGAAACACATAGGGTGGGCAAGAGCACAGAGGTGGAGCCATACCTCCACCTCCAAGCAGTATTTCCCTTTTCCCCATCCCAACCTGGAGAGATCCCAGAGGCAGGAGTTGATGATCACCAGGTCCGGGGCAGGCCCGTATGTCAGCTCCTCCAGGATATCCTCAAGGTACTCGGAGTAAACGCGGGTGAGGAAGTAGAAGCGTACAAGGTGGTGGCCAGAACCCGAGCAGAACTGGCGGACCTCACGGTACTGTGTCCCGTTGTGCAGCTCACCTAGCTGGCCCCCAGCCACCAGCTGGTCCTGTTCAAAGCTTAGCTCCCCCTACCCACCCACCCCCACCCAGCTAGTCAGACCCATGCCAGGGAGGTGGACCTTGCCAGGCCAGGGTCTGCACCCGCCCACCACTGGCATGGCTGCCGACCTTCCCTCACCTTGGCTTTCAACTGGGCAACTGTGAGCAGTGAGTCTTTCTGGAGCAGAAGCACCAGGTCCTTATATACAGCTCTCTGGACTGCAGGGAGACAGAGATCCCAAGGCTGAAGCAGACTTCACCCCATCCCAGCTCATCCCAAGTCCAGGCAGCCTGTCTTCCCTGGGCTGGGCTGCCCAACATCAGCCCGGTGGAGTTCTGGTGAGGGTTAAAAGCCTTGACACTGACTTTGTGCCATTTGGCTGTGTCCTTGGCATAGTTAAGATGACCAGGACACCCAGGAGACACAACACAATCCATAACTCCATTTAGGAAAATTATGGAGGGCTGTAAGGAAGCAAGAAAGATGGTAACTAAGTAAAAATAGACTAAAAAGCACCCAAGTTACATCTGCCGGGACACCTGTGGAAGGTGCATAGGGAATAAAAGGGAAAAATTTTAGTGGGCTAAAATAAAGTAGGGAGTAGACAGGTCTGAGATGCAGACATGGAGCACAGGTGTGGGACTGGGAAGTGTCATCCTCGAGGGGGCACTCACTGGAGTCCCCCAAGATGACCACGAACTTGTTGTGTAGCAGCTGCTGGACTTCCGAGGCTTGGAAGTGGACCATGGCGCTTCGCAGCGGGCGGTGCGGCACCTCGTTTTCCAGACAGAAGACCATGCCGCCACCGACAACCACGGGCTGCAGGGAGAAGCTACTAAGCGGCTCGGCTCCGAGCAGGTCGGCCCCAGGGCCCGCCCTGGGATAAATGAGACTCGCATCAGCCCCTCCCAGGTTGCTCAGAGCTACAGGGAGGGGGTAGCAAGCGCAGTACAGGGCCCATGGCGACGTCAGCCTCGGGCACACTAGACTCAGAAGGCCAGGGGTCGCCCGGCCCGCAGGCCCTCCAGGGCACTGTGGCGCTTCCCGCGCGGCACCGCCCTGCGCCCCGCCACGTGCCCGCCACCGCCCCGCGCATGCGCGCGCGCCCTCTCGCGCCAATTACCGAGTCCCGGGGCTCCGCGCAATTCACCGGCGAGCTGGGCAGGCCCGCGCTACGCGCGCCTGGCCCGCGGAGGGCTCGTGGTCAAGCCTCATGTTCCCGTACCCCGGGAGGGCAGTCGGTTCTGCAAAGCCCCAGCCCCGCAGAGCCTATACGCCCCGGCTAGCCGTCGGTGCGCAGCCCAACGCCCAGTGCTCTCCATGCGTGCGTCACGGAGGCACCGACGGCGCCTCAGGCCTCGGCGCCCCAGGCGGCGATGCTCACAGCTCCCACTTCCGGCCACCCATGTCCCGCCCCTCACGACCCCCAACGCCGGAGGGAACTAGAAGGCCGCAATGTCGGCCGCCGTAGTGGGTAGGAATTAGGGCCGGGCCCACCCGCGCGGGCGCAAAGCCCGGGCACGGGCGGGGGCACGGCAACCACAGAGTGCGGCTGCCCACAGTCGTGATGGCTGCAGGGGCGGCCTCACCACGTGACCCAGACGGGCGGAAGCGGAAGTGCCGGCCTGGAGCCTGTACTAGGTGGCGGTTCCCCTCAGCGCTGTCTCGCCGCTGTCGGCAACAGCCATGGATTGCTACACAGCGAACTGGAACCCACTCGGGGACTCTGCCTTTTACCGGTGAGCCGTCCTGTCTTCCCGCCCACGGCCCGGCTTACCCCCCTTGTCCGCCGGTTCGAGTCTCCCGGCGGAGCCGGCGGTGCTCGCCCCTGTCACTGCAGATTCCGGGGTCCGCCCCGCGGCCGGTCTTCCTGCGAGTCGGTCACTTAGCACTGGGCCTCCTAGGGGCCTTCCCCCTGCTTCAGAGAAGGAAATTGAGGCAAGTGCGGTGACCACCCCGAAGCCTTGGTCTGCCAGCTTCCGGAAGGATGCTCAGATCACGTTGGGGGAGGCCGCCCTCAGTGACAGCCAGTGCCCAGTCTTCTGCCGGAAAGTACAGCTGAAGTCAGACCACAGGGGCGCTCGGAGGGGGGCGGAATCGCCCGGCGGGCGGGGTGACTGTGATGACCAAGGCTGGGAGAATCTAGGGGCAGCTCGAGTGAGGACCCCTGGGTAACTGCAACCCTCTCATGGGAGTTGAAGAGTCCAGAAGTCTTAAGCGAATCACAGCGTTACGCTGACCAGACTTCTTTATAGTGACTTCCCTTTGAGTGAGACGCTACATATTGCTTGTAGAACGTCTCTTTATACATCCTATTTGTCTCGCCCACCTCATTTGCTGCCCTTACCCAAACGTTATGTTTCAGTTGTAGAGAATTGGCAAGGATTTCAAGTGCTCGACAGTTGATGGCTTTCCATGTTTGCACAGACCTGCAGTGCCTTCTGTGGACACTACCATCTCCCTCTTTATCACTCCTTCAGGACTTAGTTTAAATGTTGTCTCCAGAACCTGGCTTGGTCTTTCCTCCAGTTGAATCTTTTGGGCTTTACAAGACCCAGCACTAGTCCGTTGTGTGCGGCACAGTAGAGCAGTATTTATATGGGATTCTTCTGCTAAACTAAGTTTCTGAGGGCACGTGTCTTGCACTTATCAACAATGCATATTTAGAAACGTGTATACTACTTGATATTTTTTATTTATTTATTTATTTTGGAATCAGGGCTTGGTTGCTGTGCTGTCCTTGCGTTTTTTTTTTGTTTGTTTGTTTGTTTTTTTGCTCAATGCTGGCACTCTACTACTTGAGCCACAGCTCCACTTCCAGCCTTTTTTTCTTTCTTTCTTTCTTTTTGGTTTTTAATTGAAGAGTCTCTCACATTCTTTCCTTCCATGTCTGGCTCTTTGAGCAGTGATCTTCAGATCTCAGACTCCTGAGTAGCTAGTGATTTTAAGGAATCACCTACAGATCACAAAGACAGTTTGAATCCTATTTCAGTAGGGAAAAAAAAATCCCTCTTTTGCTAATGAAGCTATCTACTATTCTCATTCACTTATGCATATTTTTAAATTAATTTTTTGATTCACAGTATAATGTATTTCCTAGATAGCCAATGCCTATGGTAGGGTTTGGTGGGGGAGGGAGTTGTTTTGTTTTTGCTTTTGTTTGTTTTGGGGTTTTTTTGTTCTTCATTTTTGGTTTGTTTTTTTGTTTTGTTTTGTTTTTGTTTTGGGCTGTGGGTCTTGAATTCAGCCTGGGCACTGTCCCTTAGCTCTTCAGCTCAAAGCGAGGGCTCTGCCATTTGAGCCACAGCGCCACTTTTGGTTTTCTGGTGGTTAATTGGAGATAAGAGTCTCACAGAGGGCTGGGAAGGTGGCTCAGTGGTAAAGTGCTTGCATTGCATGCATGAGGCCCTGGATTTGATTCCTCAGCACCACATAAGCAGAAAAAACTGGAAGTGGCATTGTGACTCAAGTGGTAGAGCACTAGCCTTGAGCTGAAGAGCTGAGGGACAGCACCCAGGCCCAGAGTTCAGGCCCCACAATGGACAGAAAAAAAAGAGTCTCACAGACTTTTCAGCATGGGCTGGCTTTGAACCTCTATCCTCCAATCTTTGCCTCCTGAGTAACTAAGATTACAGGTGTGAGCCACCAGCATCCGGCTGCATGTGGTAGTTTTTAGAGCTCTGTTACATTTGTTCATTTGTAATTCCCTCAGGAATATGTCTTATAGTATGCAATAATTTAGTTGAAAATCAGTAGGATATACCAATAATTTCACTTTAGAAAGGAAAATATATCAGCTGACAAAGGTAACCATATCATTAAGTATTTATAAACAAGCTAGTTGACACACTTTAAAAAATATTAGCTAGGGGGCTGGTAAGTTGGTTCAGTGGTAGAGTGCTTGCCTTGCATGCATGAGGCCCTAGGTTCAATTCCTCAGCACCACATAAACAGAAAAAAGTTAGAAGTGGTGCTGTGGCTTAAGTGGTAGGGCACTAGCATTGAGCTGAAGAGCTAAAGAACAGCATCCAGGCCCAGAGTTGACACACTTTAAGAAATATTAACTTACATTTACTTTTTTTTGTTGTTTTTGCCAGTCCTGAGGCTTGAACTCAGGCCCTGGGCTTTGTCCCTGAGCTTCTTTTGCTCCAGGCTAGTGCTCTACCACTTGAGCCACAGTGCCATTTGCAGCTTTTTCTGTTTATGTGGGACTGAGGAATCGAACCCAGGGCTTAATGCATGCTAGGCAAGCACTCTTAGCACTAAGCCTTATTCCCAGCCCTTGCATTTAATTTGGTTTTGGGGTGTTTTTTTTTTGGTCAGTCGTGGGGCCTGAACTCTGGGCCTGGGCATTGTCCCTCAGTTCTTCAGCTCAAGACTAGTGCTCTACCACCTGAGCCACAGTGCCACTCCCAGCTTTTTCTGCTCATGTGGTACTGAGGAATCAAACCCAAGGCCTCATGCATGCAAGGCAAGCACTCTACCACTGAACCACCTTGCCAGCCCCACGAAGAAAGCTTTAAAAGGATGTGGAGTTCATAGATGAGTAGCTAACCTTCCCTTAGCTGTGGTATACAGCAGAAGAATTAGGAGTCTAAGCCTTGCTATGGAGGATATTTATGGTCTAAATTGTTAATGTACTGAGACTTTCTTACCTACTGGACACTGTGCCAAGTACTTTGTTAACTTGCTTAAACCTTAAAACCCAATTAGGTAGGAGGCATTATGATTAACCTCATCTTACTAATGAGAAGCCGAGGCAGATAAACCAGGTTGTAATGACTAGGTTCCACAGCTGGTAAGTGGTAGACTCTAGTTTTAGATTTTGTGCTCAAGTGTAGGGTTCTTTTGAAAATAGGAAATACAGGAGCACATACTAGTTTCTCCATCAAAGTGAAAATGCTTTAAGGGCAGGTATGTAGCTTTGTGCCTATGTGTGTAAAGCTAGGATCTAATCTATGTTCTAGTAAGTGAGGGAATGAAAACAGGTGGGCTACGTTGCATTTTGAGTCCTATTTGCAGGACAGGATTCTATTACATTGGCAGTGGTATTCTGGGGAATTCATTTGAGTTTGGGAAGGTATGGAGAAGAAATGATGGATAGTTGTTTTGGAACTCTAGTCATTTTTATTCTAAAAATGCAACTTGAGTTAATCCCATTAGTGAACTTGATCCAACCTTTGCCAGGCTGTGTCTATATGTAGAGCAGACATGTACTCAGTCTGGCTTATGGCTAGCAGGTAAGGCAACTGTATCATAGCAGCATTTGATCATAGTCACTATGAGGATACAAGAATATATAACCTAAGAGAATATTTAATAGATGAGATGAGGGGGAGGGAGGCAGAAGTAGAGAAGACTTTCTGAAAGAAATAGTAATATTCCATTCGGGGGTGATAAAGAATACAATATACAAAGGAAATGCCCAGTATTTAGTGATCTACTTCCTGATAGTCTATCTGTCTGAGTCCAATCAGTAAGGAGACTTATACTTGGAAAGTTAATTTTAAAAATTACTAAGTTGTGATTTAAAAGTTTAAGTTATAAGAAAACCTTACCTGAAAAAGACAACTCAAGGAATGGCAACTTGGAAGGGTAATCTCTTCCCAGACTGAGGTTCAGACCCTGTTGAAGAAAATAAAGTTGCAGTCTACTAGATGGAGAAAAGTTCACTGATTTGCCTGGGCCATAGCTGATGCATAGTATTGAACAAGCAAAATACCACCCTCTAGAGTGCAGGAGGCAGGGGATGCATGCAAGCTTCCATGGCTGCTGGGGTATGGACTTGCAGCAAGTGTAGGTATGCAGGTAAAGGCCTGGAAAATGTCTATAAGGCAAGCCACACCCAGTGACTAGTTGTGTGTAAAGGGAGTAAGTATGTAAAGGAAGCATGCTAGGATGCAGGTGGTGCAGCTAAGGGCCAGGCATCTTGGTATACAGAGGAATTGATTGCTTGGTGTGGGCAGGAAGCCTGAAGTCCTGTGTTGTCCAGAGAGTCAGCAGAAATTGATCTGGCAGTGTTTTCCAGGTGCATGACTGGGGCTTGCACCAACCAAGTGCCTTCACACCCTTCCTGCTGGATGACAGCTACTGCTGGGTCAGGTCCTCATCCTTTATTCTCCCAGCACCCTCTGCTGAGAAAGTTTAGACTCACATTCCACATTCAGGAGAAAGGCTTGAAGGACTGTCATTATCATAGACTCCATACTGAAGGGTGAATTTGGAGCTGAATAACCATCAGTTGATAACTAACATGTGAGTCTGTGTGAATCTATTTTCTTATCTGTTTTTTTTAACCCAGTGATTTTAGTAACTGTCCACATTTTTATACTACATACAAAAGTATGTAGTATAAAGATACAATACTAGATGTCTCCTCATCCACCACCCTTCCCAAAGGTACCCACCGTCTTTAGCTTCATGGGGAAGCCTCCATACATTTCTCTGTATATTTACATACATGTGTAATTGTATGTTAACATGCTCATCAAAAAAATGTATGTTCAGTTTTTTTATTGCATAGTCTCATATGGTTCATGCCAAGCTACAATCTACTTGTTTCACTTAAGATATCATAGAGAACATTTTGTGTCAGTACCTACAGAATCATGTTAATAGGCTCAGAACATTTTCCAGAATGGCCATAGTTTATTTAACTAATCCTGTTTTGGTGGACATAAGGAGTTTTCCAGTTTGAACTAAGTCAAAGGATCTACACAGTTAAAAGACAGTGCTTCATTTTTTTCTATAATGAGTGGACCAATTTATGCTTTCCTTAATATGTATGAGTACTCATTATTCCACTTCTCAAAAATACTAGATTTTGGGGAGAGATGGTAATTGGGGTTTGAACCCATAGCCTCGCCATTAGATAGACAAGTGCTCTATTCCTGAGCCTTGGCTCCGCCTCCCCCCATCCCCCCACTTTTTTTTTTGTTCTGGTCCTCAGGCTTCAGCCACAGTTCTACTTCTGGCTTTTTGGTGGTTAATTAGAGATAAGAGTCTCACAAACTTTCCTGCCCTATCTGGCTTCAAATTGTGATCCTCAAATCTCAGCTTTCTGAGTAACTAGGATTATAGGCATGCGCCACTAGTGTTAGGCACATAGAATTTTCTTTCTCCCATTCTATGAGTTATCTCTCAGTTCTAGTAACTGTTTCTTTTGCAGAAACCATTTAATCTGATGTGGTCCCATTTGTCCATGCTTGCTCTTATTTTCTGGGCAATTGATGCCCTATTCAGAAAAATAATTACCTGTGCCTATACCTTCCAGATTTTCCCCTATGTTCTCTTATAGTTTCAGAATTTCCAGTTATACTTAAATTTTTAAAAAATACATTTAGAGTTGACTTTTGAGAGATAGAGTTGAAGTTTTAGCCTCTTTTATGTGAATATTCCTGTTAACTAGCGCCAGTTGTTGAACAAGCTCCCCTTTCACAAGTGTTTTGGCTCTTTTATCAAAAAGTAGATAGCTAGCTGGGCGCTGGTGGCTCACGCCTGTAATCTAGCTACTGAAGGGGCTGAGATCTGAGGATCATGGTTCAAAGCCAGCCCGACAGAAAAGTCCGTGAGACTCTTATCTCTAATTAACCACCAGAAAACCAGAAGTGGTGCTGTAGCTCAAGTTGTAGAGCACTCGCCTTGAGCTGAAGAGCACAGGGATAGCGCCCAAGCTGATTTAAGCCCCATGACCGACAAAAAAAAAAAAAAAGAATGTTTGGGGGAAATTTTTATCCGAATTTTTGTGCATTTTAAGTTGTCTTTGCTGCAGCTTTATAAGAATCTTCATCAGGTTTATTCTATCTTAAAGGTTTATTTATATTTTGGATTGTAGGCATGTTGTATCCCATGCCTGCTTGTGATTTCATTATCTCCTTTTAACACTAATTGCATCTCTCACCCCAGCCCTATCTCACTGAAATACTCCTCTTGGATGTCTTTCAGGCACTGGTAGCTTAGAGCCTCTAAAACTCAATCAGTAAGCATACGTAGACCCCAGGGTTGACAGTGCCTAACCCCATTCATTGTTAAGAACCAGAAGTAGAAGAAGGTCTTCCTACCTTGAGAGACCTTTTCCAGAGTTCTTATTTCCTACTAATACCAGCTGGACCACCCTACTTCTATCTCAGTGTGTGTTTTGGATATTGGCCACACAGCCTGCCTGTCTGAGAAGCTCTTGCCAATCTTGGACACTTGCCTCAAAAGCCACATCCTTCCCTGCCAACACCCTCTGATTCTTTGCTGCTGTCCCTAAGCCAGCATGTGGTCAGTTTCTACTTATCATCCTTGTCTCCACTTCTGGGGTGGGGAGACTCCTCTACTGCCTTGTGGAAGATAGATGGAAGCTTTAGGAATTCCTCTGAGACCCCCTGGATGCAGATTCATGAAGAAGTTAATCTGCTCATCTCTGTGTGGACAGGAAATATGAACTATACAGCATGGACTGGGATCTGAAGGAGGAACTCAGGGACTGCCTGGTAGCTGCTGCGCCCTATGGGGGCCCCATTGGTATGTTGTTTTCCAATACTACATGCTCTGGGACCCAGGCTCTTGATTCTTGGAGATTTGCTGTCAGGTTGTTTTCTGCCAATTCACTTTGCTGGGGTGCTTTTAATTCTGGGTGTCAGGGTGAGACCTGCCTCATGTGAGATATATAGATCTAGAGGAAAAATGTCTTCTTGAATTACAGCGCTACTGAGGAACCCTTGGAGGAAAGAGAAAACTGCCAGTGTGAGGCCAATACTTGAGATCTACTCTGCTTCTGGCATGCCTCTGGCCAGCCTGCTGGTGAGCACCCCAGACTCTCTGGGACTAGGTGCTGAGTAGTGCTTTCTAATCCCATGGATAACCTCAGGAACTTCTCTACTCTGCAGTGGAAGAGTGGACCTGTGGTGTCCCTAGGCTGGTCAGCTGAAGAGGAACTGCTCTGTGTGCAGGAAGATGGTGCAGTACTTGTTTATGGACTTCACGGTGACTTCCGGAGACACTTTAGCATGGGCAATGTAGGGGCCCAAGGGGGATGGAGAAGGAGGGTGGAGTTTTTGCGTCAGTGGAATGCTCAACCCATGACCCTTTTCTCCAGGAGGTACTCCAAAATCGGGTTCTAGACGCCCGGATCTTTCACACAGAGTTTGGTTCCGGGGTAGCCATCCTTACAGGAGCTCATCGTTTTACCTTGAGTGCCAATGTGGGTGACCTTAAACTCCGCCGGATGCCAGAAGTGCCAGGTGAGCCCTGACCCACCTCAGATAACCATTCAATATGACTGATATGCCTCTAGCCTATGGGACCAGCAGAGGCAGAAGCGAAGGGGTCCAGTCATTGAGACTGTCTCCTCTCCTGGTTGAAGGTCTGCAAAGTGCACCCTCTTGCTGGACTACACTGTGCCAAGATCGAGTGGCACACATTCTTTTGGCTGTGGGACCGGATCTTTATCTCCTGGACCATGGAGCCTGCTCTGCGGTGGTAAGGAGTGGAACAAATAAAGGGCTGGGAGAAGCAAAGGGAAATCAGTCTGTCTCATGTTCTCTGAGCTAGTCTCTCTGGCTCTGAGAAGTCAGTCTGTCTGGTATCCTCTCCTTCTGTGCTCCAGACCCCCCCTGGCCTACCCCCAGGAGTAAGCAGCTTCCTGCAGATGGCTGTTTCCTTCACCTACCGACATCTGGCCCTCTTCACAGACACAGGCTACATCTGGATGGGGACAGCATCACTCAAGGTATGATACTAGGACAACAAGGGATACCATGCCTTGTTCAGGGAAAATATATTGGTAGCAAGGGGCTTTTCAACCAGACTGGTGTCTGCTGGATGAAGCTATGACATGTTTGCACCCTTTCAGGAGAAGCTGTGTGAATTCAACTGCAATATCCGGGCACCTCCGAAGCAAATGGTCTGGTGAGGGTAGGAGAGTTCTTTGGAGGTGGGACTGGGATATAGCCTTAATTTCTGGGATATTTTGCTGAATTGGCAAAGCTAAGCTGGGCTTGGATGTCCCCTTCTCTACGCACTTAAAGAAAACTATTGTTGGGGTTGGGAGAGTGGCTCAGTGGTAGAGTGCTTGTCTCGCATGCATGAGGCCCTGGGTTTGATTCCTCAGCACCACATAAACAGAAAAAGCCAAAGTGGCTCTATGGCTCAAGTGGTAGAGTACTCACCTTGAGCTGAAGAGCTGAGGGACAATGCCCAGGCCCAGAGTTCAAGCCCCATGATCAACAAAAAAAAGAAAAGAAAGAAAACAATTGTCCACTGAGAGCTACTCTCAGGAGCTGGCAGCACCGGCTGAAGGGGAAGCAGTCAGGTCAGCATATAGCTAGAGGGATGGAATAAGGAGTGTATAAGAATGTTCAGAGCTATCCATGGCAAAGAGATACAAATAGTGATGTGGGAGACATGGCTATAGGCCTGCTATCCTGCAAAAATCTCAGACATGTGTTGTGTTGCCCACAGGTGCAGTCGTCCTCGCAGCAAGGAGAGGGCTGTTGTAGTGGCCTGGGAAAGGCGGTTGATGGTGGTGGGTGATGCTCCTGAAAGCATCCAGTATCCTTAGATGGCTGTCTGTGTGGATGAGAGAGGGAAAGAAGGGTCACCTGCCCCACCCTACCTTTAGATACCCTTGGGAGCCTTGACTTTGCTTAGGTTTGTGCTAGATGAGGACTCCTACCTGGTGCCTGAGCTTGATGGGGTCCGAATCTTCTCCCGCAGCACCCATGAATTCCTGCATGAAGTGCCAGGTAAGGCCCCACAAGGGCACTGCATAACTCAGGGCAGGGCTCCATGCTTTCTCCTGGCCTGACACCTCACCCCTCCCCACTTTCCTGGACTATGACCCAAAGTAAGTTCAGGCAGAACTGGGAATTTTCTTGTCTCTTGCTCTCACTCAACAACTTCTTCCCCCCAGTGGCCAGTGAAGAGATCTTCAAAATTGCTTCAATGGCCCCTGGAGCGCTGCTATTGGAGGCCCAGAAGGAGTATGAGGTAGATTCCTGGGCTTCTTCCCAGGCCCTAAGAGGTTCTCCTTCCCTTTCCCCTGATTGGCTCAACCCCTTGTCTCTTTTTTGGCAAGTGTAGGAACACTTAGGTGCCACCTATCAAGAGAAGGGTTTAGACAAGACACCTGACTGGGCTGGTAGGCTGACAGGAATAGTATCTTACGTGTGGTGGTGAAAAAGGACAGAGTGGCCCCTCTCTTCCCAGCCAGGCACAAGTTGGCACTATTATTGGAGGTGTCGAACCCCTTCCCCCTATGGCAATTGTGGGAACCCCAGGTCCAATAAATGGGATTGAGGCCTGATCTCTGGCCTGTTCAGCCCCTCTAAACCAGCCCAGTTAAGAGAAACTTGGGGCCAGAAGTGGAATATCTCCTGTCATGATGTTCTGTCTTTGGGCTTTCCTCCACAGAAAGAGAGTCAGAAGGCAGATGAGTACCTGCGGGAGATCCAGGAGCTGGGGCAGCTGACCCAAGCTGTGCAGCAGTGCATTGAGGCTGCAGGACATGAACACCGGCCAGACATGCAGAAAAGTCTTCTCAGGGTTGTCCTGGAGGGAGTTCTGAGGGAGGCAATCCTGGAAAGGGTGGGCTGAGTAGCATGGGAAACTCTCTTCCATTACCCTTTGGCTCTTCTCAGGCGGCCTCCTTTGGAAAGTGTTTCCTGGACAGATTTCCACCTGACAGCTTTGTGCACATGTGCCAGGACCTGCGTGTACTCAATGCTGTTCGAGACTACCACATTGGGATCCCTCTCACCTATAGCCAGTATCCCCATGCATGCGGAGAAGGCATACATGCAGGGGGTGGCAGGAGAAAGGGTTGGAGATATGCCCAGATAGACCCTTGGAAAAAGGCTTTTTTAAATTTTTTTATTTTTGTGCCACTCCTGGCACTTCCACTCAGGGCCTGGGCACTGTTCTTGCGCTTTTGTGCTCTAGGCTAGTGCTATACTACATGAAATACAACTCCACTTCTGGATATTTTGGTGGTTAATTGGAGATGAGTCTTATGGACTTTCCTGCCTGGGCTGGCTTCAAACCCATACTTAAATCTCGGCCTCTTGAGTAGCTTGGCTTACATTTGTGAGCCGCCAGTACCTGGCCTTGGCAAATAGGCTTTTATTTACAGCTGGATCCTTAACCAAAGAAAATAAAGATATAAGCAGCTCACCATCCAGGTGCTTCTGGACAGGTACAACAAGCCCAGGGGTACTAGAGCCAAGCTAGACATGGGTGGCTACTACAGCCTTTGGTGGGGTCTTAAGGTCACTGCTCCTGATAGATAGGCTGGGGCCGCTCTTCTTCCTCTATCTGTCTCATCTTGCCCTTGCACCCTTGTGTTCTTTTCTTCTAGGCTTGTGTTGCGGAGGCTTTACCCGTTGGCCATTCAGATATGCGAGTATCTGCGCCTTCCTGAAGTTCAGGGTGTGAGCAGGATACTGGCTCACTGGGCCTGCTACAAGGCAAGGATGTGGGGTGAGGTCCAGGGGCACTGAGGTAATTTCAGTTCCTACTGAGGTGTAGGAAACACAAAGTATAGGAGTGAAGGGTGGGTTCTGATTGAGGGTACTCTAGATGAGGGAGGCATGAGATCCAGTTTTTTGTTATATCCCCCCCAACACACCTTACAGGTACAGCAGAAGGATGTATCAGATGAGGATGTTGCACGGGCCATTAATCAGAAGCTGGGGGATACGCCTGGCGTCTCCTACTCTGACATTGCTGCGAGGGCCTATGGCTGTGGCCGCACGGAGCTAGCCATCAAGGTATGGGCATATAGCCCTCCCCAGGTGCTCTGATGTGAATGCTCAAGGCTCTCACACCAGCTTTTTCTTTCCCTTTGTGCCTTCCTCCCCACCCCACAGCTGCTGGAGTATGAGCCACGCTCAGGAGAGCAGGTGCCCCTCCTCCTAAAGATGAAGAGGAGCAAACTAGCACTTAGCAAGGCAATTGAGAGTGGGGATACAGACCTGGGTGAGCAGGGTTTGAGTGAGGGCTAGGCTGGGGTCCTTCACAAGCAGGCCCAGTCTAGAAGCTGCATTCACCTTGTCCTACAGTTTTCACAGTGTTGCTGCACCTGAAAAATGAGCTAAACCGAGGAGATTTTTTTATGACCCTCCGGAATCAGCCCATGGCCCTGAGTTTGTACCGACAGGTATGTGGTGGGCAGGGAGGATGGAGCCTCCTGGGTTTTTGAGTTGGCCTTGCTGACTAATTGTCTGTTACTTAGTTCTGTAAGCATCAGGAGCTGGAGACGCTGAAGGACCTTTACAATCAGGATGACAATCACCAGGAGTTGGGCAGCTTCCACATCCGAGCCAGCTATGCTGCAGAAGAGGTCCGGGGTCATAGTGGGCTAGGATTACTTATCTGGTTCCTTCTCTAGGAATCTAGACACCCATATTGGTACACACCCCATCTGGTCATCATCATTGAGGGAGAGTCTGAGAAGACCTAAGGCCAGGATAGATGCTGATCTCAGAGGAGCTAGCCCATCCCTCTAGGGGATGTCCCTTTGCATATAAGGCTGACCCCAGCAACTCTAGGATTGGGGAGAAAACTCACCTGGGTTGGGAGGGCCAGGGCCCTGTGCATTGTGGACCTAATCCACCCCTGTCTTTATAGCGTATCGAGGGACGAGTAGCAGCCCTACAGACAGCAGCCGATGCCTTCTACAAGGCCAAGAATGAGTTTGCAGCTAAGGTTTGGCCAGCTTTTTAAAGGTCCTTTGTCATAGCTTCTTGGACTTTATTCCCTGTCCTGTTCATCCCCAGGCTGCTTTATCTTGGTCCCCAGGCCACAGAGGATCAAATGCGGCTCCTACGGCTACAACGGCGTCTAGAAGATGAGCTGGGGGGTCAGTTCCTAGACCTGTCTCTGCATGACACTGTCACTACTCTCATCCTTGGTGGCCACAATAAGCGTGCAGAACAGCTGGCACGTGACTTCCGCATTCCTGATAAGAGGTAGATGAGGGCCTGGGCTTTGTCTAGTCCTAGAACTGCCTGTTTCTTCTGCATGCAATATGTTCAAGTCCAACTTCCCTGTAGACTCTGGTGGCTGAAGCTGACTGCTTTGGCAGATTTGGAAGACTGGGAGGAGCTAGAGAAGTTTTCCAAGAGCAAGAAATCACCCATTGGCTACCTGGTGAGATCTTCCCTCATCTCCCCTACCACCAGTAAGGGTAGTCCTTGGCAAGGAGTTAGGCAGTGGGACTGGCAGAAAGGCCCATTCATGTTACCTGTTAGGCTGACCCATGCCCTTAGCCAGTACTTCTTGTGTCCATGAGAATGTGGGAAGACACCATGCACTGTGCTGGGTGCACTGGAGAATGATCCTGAGCAGATGCTGAGGGGTATGAGAATGAGATGCTGTCCCTGAGGAGGACCACAAGGACACCATATGCCTGCAGGGAAGTCCTGCTTAAGTTAAGGACAGAGAGGAGAGGGAGAATCCAGGGAGGATATCAGGTTGTTTCCCGTGGCAGATGGTATAGAGAAGTAGAGTTCAGGTTTCATAATGACAGCCTTGAGAGAAGACATAGGACCTGAGAAGGCATCCTGTTGTAGATGGTGGTAAAGGGTGAAAATAATTAGTTTCAAGGCTCTAATGGATCTTTGCTAATGTTCTTTTTTGTTGTTGGTGGTGGTCATGGGGGCTGAACTCTGGGCCTGGGCGCTGTCCCTCAGCTCTTCAGCTCAAGGGTAGCGCTCTACCACTTGAGCCACAGCACCACTTCCAGCTTTTTTTGCTTATGTGGTGCTGAGGAATCAAACCCAGGGCCTCATACATGCAAGGCAAGCACTCTACCACTGAGCCACCTTCCCAGCCCCGAATCTTTGCTAATGTTGATCACAGCTATTCTTGTGCAGATGGGGAGGGAACTATATATACTATTTAGTATATAAAATATCTATAGCCAATATATCCTTTGGGATTTTGTTAAGGAGAACTGGGAAGGCTATGCTTTGTTTTCTTTCCCCTTCCCTTCGCTCACCTTCAAAGCCCTTTGTGGAGATCTGTATGAAACAACACAACAAATATGAGGCCAAGAAGTATGCTTCCCGTGTGGGTCCCGAACAAAAGGTCAAGGCGTTACTTCTTCTTGGGTATGTCAAGTGAGGGCCCCATGGGTATGAGGTGGCTAAACCAGTGGGTTGATAAGAAGCAGGGTTGGTGCTCTTGGGCAACCCCAACACCATCTCTCCTGCTCAAACCACAGTGATGTGGCTCAGGCTGCAGATGTAGCCATTGAGCACCGGAATGAGGCTGAGCTGAGCCTCGTATTGTCACACTGCACTGGAGCCACAGACGGGGCTACAGCTGACAAGATTCAGCGGGCCAGAGCACAAGCCCAGAAGAAGTGAAGAACCTCTAGAAGCTTTGGGGAGATCTTCTCCTATCCTGGAGTTGGCAGAAGGGTCATTCCATCCAACACCTCCCCTCTCAGGGTAAAGCTGAGAAGCTGGGAGGAGTCTAAGGATACAGAGAAGCCTGGTTGTAAATAAACTTGGAATACTTTAGGATGGTTATTTTACACAAACTAGCCTGAGAAAAGCAAACATGAGGGGACCGAAGGAGTGACTCGATTGGCAGAATGCATACCTAGAAAGCATGGCGCCTTGAGTTCAAACCCTAGCCCACGCCCCCCTCCCATAAAATAAAATATTAAAGCAGAACCATCTAGACACTGCAACAGAATTTTCCATCTTTGTGAAGATGCTGGCAGTAGGTCCTTACAAGAGGGACCTATCTGCCTCTCATAGTTACTAAGGAAAGCTCTCTCAAAAATCCTAGGAAGATTATGGGGAGAAATGGCATGAAACAAACACAAACTCAATAAAAATCACAATGTAAAGCATTCCGTATATGTGCACACACTTGAGAGCCATGCTGAACACTTGGCAAGTATTGCATTTATTCCTCATGAGATTGGTAGCATCACCCCTCTTTATAGAAGAGGAAATTAAAGAAGAGGACCAGGGAGATTAGTTACAGCAAATATGTGACAAAACCAGGATTTGAAAGCCAGGTTGACTCCAGCTGGAAATGGAATATGGAACTGAGGCAAGGTCCTGTGTTGCTCTACATTGAGGGTTGGAGGATTAGTAGGATACATGTGACCATTCAGTTGTGGGGGTTAGAAAAGAAGCCTTTGGGAAAAACCTTGCCTGCTGAACAGTGGTGAGCACTGGGCCAAAGAGAAAGAGGGTGAAAGATCTGCTCAACACAGAGGATGGAAAAACTTCCCAAGAATTATGAACTGGGGACCCCGTGGCTCGACTCCATCTCATTGAAACCTGCCAGTCAGTAGAGGCACCTGCTTTGCTCTCCACTCTGTCCCCAGCCTGTAGTCTGTGTACTCCAATGTACCATGGCACTGCCACCTGTCACTATGGGCATTTTTGTCTAGCAGGAGGAAGAACCAAAGCCCAGAGAGTAAGCAGCCTTCACTAGAGTTTCAGGTACTCTAACACCCCAAGCCTGACCATGCTTTAAAAAAAAAAAAAAAAAAGAGAGACTCTGGGCCTAGATAGTCCCTTTTCCCCCCATCTGATTTATGTTAGTTTGTAGAAATCCTCCAGGGAGATACAAATCAAATTGTCAGACAATCATTTTTTATGCTTACCATTTATTATGTGGTCAGCATGCAGCAGGGATGGTTTGTGTATGCTCCACAATGTTTGTACATCAGCCGGAAGGCTCAGAGGCTGAGAGTGACTTCACAGCTGGAGGCTGAAATCATTTGGTAGCTTGCTCACCCACATGTCTGTATGAAGCTGGTTGTTGACCAGAACCTTAGGGTTTTAGACCAGAATACCTACAACCTGGAGTACTTCATAGTATCGCTTAGTCCCTAGAATAAAATCCATTTTGCTGTTGCTAACCTAGCACTGAAGCCCCTTGGTGTCACATTTGCCACATTCTGTTAGGACAATCTCAGAATGCTACCTCACCAGTTTCAAGTAAAACAGCACTTTGCTGTGCACTGGTGGCTTGTGCTTGTAATCCTAGCTAGTCAGGAGGCTGAGATCTGAGGATTATGGTTCAAAGCCAGCCCTGGCAGGAAAGTCCATGAGACTCTTATTTTCAATTAACCATCAGAAAACTGGAAGTGGCTCTGTGGCTCAAGTGGTAGAGCACTAGCCTTGAGCTGAAGAGCTCCAAGGCAGCACCCAGGCCCAGAGTTCAAGCCCTATGACCAACAAACTTTGATAGGACAAAGTTTTAGAAAGATTGTTAGTGTTACCAGTTATTTTTTAGAATTAGTCTTCCCTTTGGAATAAATAGACATTTCCAAAGAAAGGACAGGATCCAGGCTGAGAAGGTGGCTCAGTGGTAGAGTGCTTGCCTTGCATGCATGAGGCCCTGGGTTAAATTCTTCAACACCACATAGTGGAAAAAGCCGGAAGTGATGCTGTGGCACAAGTGGTAGAGTGCTCGCCTTGAGCTGAAGATTTGAGAGACAGTGTCCAGGCTCAGAATTCAGCCCTACAGCAGAAGAAAAAAAAAAAAAAAAAAGGACAGGATCCCCTTATGCTGGGCTCTTCATTCTGGGCTTTTGTCCTCCTCAATCTTGGCCCCACAATTTCTCATTGCCTTGGTAACTGATGATTTTCTTCTTTCTTGGTGGTACTGGGGTTTGAACTCAGGTTCTCAAGCTTGCAAGGCTGGTACTCTATAGCTTGAGTAAGTTCCTAGCTCTTTTCTGCTTTATTTTTCAGGTGGGGTCTTGCATCTTTGCTTCAGATTCCCCTACTTAGGGCCTTCTGTGTAGCTATGATTACAGATGCATACTGCCATTCCCATTTTATTGATTAAGATGGTGTGTCATCAACTTTTTGCTCTGGCTGGCTTAGAACTACAATCCCCCTGATCTCTGCCTTCCAAGTAGCTAGGATTACAGGTGCAAGCCACTGTACCTGGACTCTGTTTTTGTTTTGTTTTTTACCTCTTAGAGAAGAAGAGATTGTTGCCAAATAGCCCAGTCTTTTCTGGAAGGGGAGACTTGGCCAAGGCTAAATATACATGACTTAAAAAAATTACCCACAAAGTAACATACTACCCATTTCCTCATGTGCAAATGTGAACAATAGACATTATACGTGAACTTTTAGCAATATGCAAGACAAAAGTTTTAACATCAATGGAAGATTCATATAGTGATTACAACTTCAGGAAAAACGTGTGTGCCTGTGGAGAAGCCCTGGGATTGTCCATGGGAAAGTTATTTGAGAATTTAGAGGTTCCCCAGCTCAGTGGCAGAACACTTCCCTAGAGTGCACGAGTTTGATCCATGGTATCACCAAAGGTGGGGGGAGGCAGTTTTGTGTAGATGTTTTTTTTAAGTCACTAATTTTCTCAACTTTTTTTTTGGTTGGTTATGGGACTTAAACTGTCCCTCAGCTCTTCAGCTCAAGGCAAGCGCCTTACCATTTGAGCCACAGCACCACTTCTGGTTTTCTGGTGGTTAATTGGATATGAGTCTCACGGACTTTCCTTGCCCAGGCTGGCTTTGAACTGTGATCCTCAGATCTCAGCCTCCTGAGTAGCTAGGATTACAGGTGTGAGCCACTGATGCCCAGCGAATCATAATATTGTAAATTTGCATATGTCTGCTGGGGTTTGACAGGTTCATTCACATATAAAGAGATAATTAAAAACCTGAATGGGAAGGAGGTAGACTTATCCCAGTGGACGAGCATTTGCCTACTAAGTGTGAGGCCTAGATTCAATCTTGGCACCAGAATATAAAAAATTGTAACTAGAACTTTTTCTTTCAAATCCTTAATTGCTCATTGAAAGTAATGTAACCTGTCCTTGGAGCAGTTGTATAGCAGGCCTGAACCTATGATGTCAGATGGGGCCAAGTCTTTTCTAATGGATGAGGTTAGGATTCTGACTGTGGGCAGATGTAGAAACATTTCTCCTGGTTTAGGACACTCCTGGTTGAGAACACTCCTATAAGACACCTCAAGGCAAGAGGTTTCTGCAAATGACTTGTAGATTAACAGTGACTGAGAGGACTCTTGGCTCTCATGTATTTCATCTATTATTGTGTTGCTTTATTTTCATTACAGCACTTAGGAAACATTCTTTTTCATTTGTTTATTGTCTGTCTCTCCCTCCAGAATGTAAGCCCCTGAGAGCAGGAGGCCTCTTCTTACTCTCTCCTGTGTTCAGCACACGGTCTGTACTCAATAAGAAATTGAATGACTCATTGTTCCATTTACTAGATGGGGGAAAGAGGCCTGAAGAGGGAAGTAACTTGCCTGAAAGAACAGGACTCCTTCATTCCCATCCGGGAGTCTTGCTGATTAACCCTGTGGCTGTTAGGATACCAGTGGGGTGGCTGACAAGTGCCTGCTAGGTGTGCCCCATGAGTTAGGACTAAAGCAGAACTGGGAGTAAGAGCCACAGTCTTCCCCTTGGGTTGTCTGAGAGAAGCCTGACTCCTCTCCCTCTCAAGACAGTCCTTAACTCTGTTGATGAGAGAGAGAGGCCTCTCGACACTCCAGTAGGATGCAACACCAGGCAAGTTTCCATGGCAGGCACCTTTGGGTAGGACTCTGCCCTCTTCCAGTGGAAACTGCATACTTGCTTGCACTTAATCTTCCCAGGGTCTCGAGTGGGTCCCCCAACCCCCTTGGTCTGAGGTTCTATGTCACCCCTTCACATAAACCACAGATGTTATGATTACACAGTGCCTGTCTCATGGAGAGTGAAGGATCTTCTATTTCTTGAGGATAGGTTACTGGCCAAACTGTGTGTGTGTCTGGAATTCTCAGTTCAACTCTAGATGGTTTCAGGAAGGATAGCAGAGGCAGGCTCAGGCCTTCAGCACTGGGCAGGGCTGGAAACCAAGAGCTCTCTGACTCCCACATTTAACTGCAAGGATTCCCAAGTGTGGTCAGATCCAGTAGGGGCTCTTCACCAGGTTGTCCTTGAAAGAACCACCTGTCTCTTTTCGGCTGGGGCATGAGCTCTGGGCCTGGGCCCTGTCCCTCAGCTCTTCAGCTCAAGGCTAGTGCTCTACCACTTGAGCCACAGCGCCACTTCTGGCTTTTTCTGTTTATGTGGTGCTGAGGAATCATGGCCTTATGCATGCAAGGCAAGCACTCTACCACTGAGCCACCTTCCCAGCCCCCCACCTGTCTTAATAGCTATTTTAATTCCATTAGTAAATATAAGTATCATGTAAAGTTTTTTTATGTATTAAATCAAATAAATTTACCAAAAGAAACTGTGGTTATTGTAGGTAAAAACCAAGCTGGTAGTTTAATTTGAGGCTATGGAGCTGCCCTCATTGTCCAGGTACATTTTACATTGTTTTTCAGGTTTTTTTTTTTAATAGCACAGGTCCAATGGATGGACAAAACTTGAGTTACTTTTCCATTCTCTGTGCACCTCCATTCTGGATAGATTTGAATTTGGGCTTCCCAAGAAATGGGCATGTGGCCTCACTGGCTGCTTGGGGGTCTGACACTTAAGAGAACTGGGCAGTGGCTTTGAGCCTTTGAGCTGAAGTGTCTATTTGCCAGAGACAGCTTGGGCTGGCCATCTTGCTGATACTTCTGGAATGGTTCTGCCAGTAGTGATTTCCCTTCGGGGAAGGGGAAGGCCTGAGGAAGGTCCACTGCAGCCCATATTTCTAGCGTGTGGCTCTGGTTAACATACACCAATTTCACAAATGAGGAGGCTGGTTGCATAGAGTTCTAAGTTGGTTCCCCAGCAACAGGTGGGGGGTTGGGGGCAACGACGACAGGGGATTACAGGAACATTAAGCCTGTGTGGAAACCAGCTGATGGGAGCTCTTGTGCAGATGTATTCCCACCTGCCACTCAGAGTTGCCTCTAGTTGTAGATCCTGAGCACTGGGCTCTTGGGGCGGGCACAGTGGATAAACTTGATTGCCTGTCTGGAGGAGAAACTGACATCCACGCCGGGCACCACAGACTTCGGGCTTAGGATAAAGTGTAACCCTCGTCACTTCTTGGGCCTACAGCAGCCCGGTGGCTCAGCCTGGGGACCGCACAAATGTTTCACTCGCCACCCAACACGATAGTGTAACCGACTTTTAGCTGCTGGCGCTTAGGTCTTGCAGCACCCAAATATGCTGCCTCCAGAAGTACACACAGATAGCTTCCGGGGCTACTCGGGAGGGCTGCGATTCCCTGGGCTCCAGTAAGGGGATCGGCATCCCGGCCCTGGTGGAACTCGCCTCTCCATCTCCCTCACGCTTTGATCCTCCCCTCCCCCGCCAGGCCTGTAGCGCAAGACATCCCCCGCCCACCGCCCGGCATCACGTGTGGTGCTTCCACCCAGTTCCGTGGCCAGTCAGGCCCAGTCTGCGCATCTGGAAAGCGGGGGAAATGTCCCTGGGGCTCGGGTGGGGATGATGTAGGCTGCTGGCTTAGTATAAGGCGGCACCCAAGGAGCCAGACCCGTTCTAGGGACTCGGCAGGTTCTCCCTGCGAAGGGGCTCTTCGTCTTCCAAGTACCTGGCAGTAACGGGGGTGGGGTGAGCAGGGAGAAGACCGAATCGATCGCATTTGGAGGAGTGTAAAGATGGTTTTCGTGTTCTAGGCCACCCCAGTCGGTGAGTATTGGTGTGGCAAGTCTCTGGCCTCAGTTTCCGCATCCGTAAACTGGGAAGAAAGCCCCAGGTCCAGGTTCCTGAGCTTGTAGACAATTGGAAGACGTTGCGGAACGATCTACCGGCGCGACCGAAGTCCTGCTTTCCGTAGGCTGAAGTCCCTTGAGCTGTAGAGGACCGTGAGACAGACTTCACACCCCCGAAAAGAGCGCTGGGAGGCACGCAAGGGCGGGGCCCGCGAGAGCCGGAGACGCCCGTCCAGCGTCGGCCAACCAGCGCCCTCCTCTGAACAGCCAATGAGCACGCGCCTTACAACCGAGGCAGGATCGCGAGCGAGGCTGCGGCGAGTGCAGCTCTGACAGGGACGCGCGCGCGCGCGCGACCGAGCTCGGACCCCGGGCCGAGGCCGCCATCACCGCCGCCTGCGCCGTCGTCCCTCGGTCACTTCCCATCGCCATGCAGGCGAGGCCGCCGCCGCCGCCGCGGGGCTTGGAGCTGCGGGCCGGGCGGCGGCCCTGAGGGCGAGTGGCGGGCCGAGCCGCCGCCGCCGCCGCCGCCGCCGCCGCCGCCGCCGCGGAACTGAGGCGGAGCTGCCGTCCCGGTCCCCCGTGGTCCCGCCCAACGCCGGACTCGGTGAGTGTTCGCGGCCGCCGCCCGGGTGGGCTCCGGACGCGGGTGGGAGGGGTCCCTGGGCTCTTCCTTTCCGGGCGGGGTCCCTCGGGCTTGTGCGCTGGGATCTGCATCCCTGCGCGGTGGGCGGGGGTGGGGGTCTCCGGAAGCGTGTGGGACAGGGCACCGACCCCTCTCCACTGCCCAGGAACTTTGCGGGCCCTCTCCTGGGATCTGGCCAGGGCGCTGCCATAGTTCATTCTGAAACAAGAAACTTGGAACAGCGAGAACAGCATTTGCCTAGGTCCATTTGATGGGAGAGAAAAAAGAAACTCCTGGCAAGAGAAATTTTGTTTTTGCAATGACCCAAGTTTCTTTCCCTAAAAGCCCCTCCTGGCCCGATTCCCAGGCCCCTCTCTTTGCCGTCCACTCCCAACTGTTGAAGATGCATTAGGAACGGGGAAATAGGGGACCAGAGAGCTGCTCAGAATTCATAATGAGTCACTTGGGAATGCAGATCCCCTCCCTTTTTACTCTCACTATTTTTTTTTTTCATACACACACACACATCCTCAAATATATTTCCTGAAAATAAAAACCTTAATGGCAGAACTGAGGCTCATGTTGAGGTAGGCGTGTGTGTGTGTGTGTGTGTGTGTGTGTGTGTGGTCAGTAATACTTGTAAGACAGGAAAAGAGGAATGTTCAAACCCTTCCTGAGCAGAGTAATGCCTGTAGAAGCCTTTGGCTAGAATAAGGATTGCTGCTGGAACCAGACATATCTCCTCTGAGATTGCTTCACTAACCACCTGCTAGCTGTTGAGACAGCCAGACAACCCAAAAGATGGTGGGTGAGAGGATTGACTAGGAAAGGGCGAGCATCTTCCTGCCTGGCCACTCCTTTTAAAAACACAGATCAGATGCTGTCACTTGTTTATTTTAAACCTCCTTCATTTTTTTGTTTATCCTGTGGGATGAATGAAACTCAAAATGTCTTAATTGGGTCACAAAGGGCCCTGGACAGTCTTGCTTCAACTTACTTTACATGTAGCTTAATCCTATCCTCCTGTGGGCCTAGCTTTTCAGAGTCTGCCTGACTGCCCCTTCACCTATTTGGAGGTTTTTGCTTTCTTGTGTCCTGTTTCCTCCCATATTGACTGTGCTGGGAGAATTCTTCCCGGTCGTCTCCATTTCCCAAGAGAATTTTCACTAGTCTTTCTCAAAGACCTGTTTGGAATGCATGGTCAGGACTTTTGGTACCTCTGATTCCCCATCTCCCCAAGTCTATGCCACCTAGCCTCCATAAATAGCAGGCAGAAACTGACAGGTCCCATGTTCCACAGGCTTCCAACTTGCTTGACTGTCCCTGAAAGACTAAAATCCCCTTAGTCATTTTTCACTGCTCAAGGGGGCCTCAGATATACTATAATGAATGGTGAGATCCAGGAGTTCACTTCCTGGGTACCTTTTTAGCATGTGGATGCACTACAGAATTAAAATGCAAGCCCTTTGACTTACGTGTATTTATGTGTCATCTATTTGCCAGGTAAAGCACTTGATTATGATGCAAAATGAAAGTGAGAAACTTCTTGAGTCCTTTCCTTTGAAGCACTCACAGACCAATGCAGGACAGGTGGATATAATTACACTGTAGGTGCTATTGGAGTAATAATGATTGCTATTACCTTTTATTTGCCTGTGACAGGTTATGTAATAAACGCCTACATGATTCTCTCATGTAATCTTTTCAATGGTTGTATAGGGGCTTATTCCTACTCTGTAGGGCTGAAAACTAAATCTCTATGGTGGGCATATGAGACAATAGTCGGAATTTGAGTCCTGTCAGTCTACCTTCAGAGCCTCTGCTAGGCTGCACAGATTACATTCCTTGAGTGGTTAAAGAAAACTTCCTTGGCAGGAATCCTTTGGGTTCTGAAGGATGTATAGAAGTTTGTTTATAATGGGCTGGGAATGTGGTTCAGTGGTAGAGTGCTTGCCTAGCATGCATGAAGCCCTGGATTCCATTCCTCAGTACTACATAAACAGAAAAAAGTCTCAAGTGGTAGAACACTAGCCCTGAGCTAAAGAAACTCAGAGATAGTGTCCAGGCCCTGAGTTCAAGCCCCATGACAGGCAAAAAAAAAAAAAGTTTATGATGGACAGCACACAGTAAAAAGGGAGAAAGCTTGGAGGTGGAAGGACCGACTGTCTTTGGGAATAGAATTGAATAGATGAGATTAGGGTCAGTTTGAAGGCTGTGTTAAGAGTTTGAGCCAAACGCCTGTAATCCTAGCTATTCAGGAGGCTGACATCTGAGGATCATGGTTCAAAGCCAGCCGGGGCAGGAAAGTCCATGAAACTCTTATCTTCAATAAACCAGCAGAAAACTGGAAGTGGCCCTGTGGCTCAAGTAGTAGAACCCTAGCCTTGAGCTGAAGAGCTGAGGGACAGTGCCCAGGCCCAGAATTCAAGCCCTATGACTGATTAAAAAAAAAAAAAAAGAGTTTGAACCATGGAAAGGTTTAAAGGAGATCAGAGACCTGGGACTCATTGGGCATTAGAAAGGTCTTTTGATGGTGCCTTTGGGGGCCAGATGCTGATAACCTGTCAATTTAGAAGGTAATGGCCCAGCTCCACAACATAGCATCACATCCTCTTAGACTTAGTAGATTATTCCTCTCTAGAGAGAATTCTGCTCAGTTTTGAGAAGATAATGCATTTGAGAGGAAAATCTAGCAGTGTAAAGGTGTATGTAGAGAAAATAAATCTCCTCTACCCTGACCCCAAGTTTGTTGCTTCCTAACCTTCCCAGAGATAGCTGGAGTCTCTCGCTTCTGTGACCTCCCATAGGCACTGTTCCTTTATGTGTGTTGACATATTCTTCTCACCATTGCATGTTTGTCTCACCTTCTTTAATTAACATACTTAAGAAATTACACCTTATTACTATATTCAGAATTATTCAAAATTATTCATTCTTTTAGGGGGGAATTGAACTTAGGGCCTGGGCTCCATCACTGAACTTTTTTTGCTCAAGGCTAGCATTTTACCACTTGAGCCACAGTTCCACTTCCAGCTTATTGGGAGATTTTGGAATTAAGAGTCCAATGGACTTTCCTGCCCCGTCTGGCTTTAAATCATGATTCTCAGATCTCAGCCTTCTGAGTAGCTAGGATTATAGGGGTGAGCCACTGCTGAATTATTTATTCTTTGTATTGACACTATATGACTGCATTGTGAAATAAGCTGTATTTGTACATAGGACTATTGTATATGTTTAATGAGGCTTCAGGTTAAACATTTGTTATAGCCCACTATATTTCTAAGAAATATAGTGAGTATCCTTTGGATATACATTGGTATGTGCTCATTTGTACAGTTATCTCAATGATATACTTTTTGAAGTAGAACTACTGGGTCAAAGGACATATATGCTTTTCTTAAAGATACGTAGCCAAATTACCAACCCTTTGAGATAATTGTTTGAATTTAACCTGTTCCCCAAAATGTGTTGGATGTTCACCAAAATACCTAATGAGATCATCTGTGATGCTTTTTCAGCTATCACATGCCTGCTTCCCACCCACCCCCTATGTGATTTTAGCCTGTTTTCAGTTCGAATAGAAGACACTGAGGCTTAGAAGGATTCAAGTGACGCGTGCAAGAAGATCAGTGTTAAGTAGTAGTGGCCTATTTTTGCAGCTCTGGCATCTAGTACCTCTCATGGAGACACTCAGAATTAATTTGTAATATTGTTGGATTATTTTTTTTCCTCCATCTTCACATGGAAAAATGAGCCCCAGGCTTGAGTTAAAAGTAGGAAGCTGGCCAAATATAGTCTTGTGGGTTTTTTTTTAAATTTTTAGTACAACAACTAATAAATGTTTCCAGATTCCGAAGCTGAAGAAAACCTACAAATAACCCAATATTAAGGTTTATTTTTAACATATTCTGTATTGAAAAGAGAATTCACTAAATATAAAACTATACTTTAAATTTCTATATATACATTGATTTTTATATTTGTAGTCTGTAAATAGGGAATATGAGTTTTGAATTGTTGAGTAGCATAAAATATTTTATATTTACTTGTTTATGTGTCTTTACTATCTTAAATCACAATATTTTTTTTTTTTTAATTTTTATCTGTTGTGGGGCTTGAACTCTGGGCCTGGGTGCTGTCCCTCAGCTCTTCAGCTTAAGGCTAGTACTCTACCACTTGAGCCACAGCGCCACTTCCAGCTCTTTCTGTTTATGTGGTGCTGAGGAATCGAACCCAGGGCCTCATACATGCAAGGCAAGCACTCTACCACTGAACCACCCTCCCAGCCCCAAATCAGAATATTTTAAAATCACAGTATAGTATTCCATGAATCAAAATGTGTAATTTGTATAGTGTGCTTTATTTCTTCCTTTCTTTTCTTTATTCTGTTATAAACCCATGCACCCATGTTCAAGTACTTCTTTTGGATTATTTTCTTGGACCTTTACTTCTTAAGTGGGCTTAACGAGTCAGAGGAATAGTTTAGTGCTCAGTTGCTACCTCTGATAATTGAATTAGTCTACAATTGTATCAGAAACATATGTAGCCCTGTTTCTAGGGTACTTAGCCAGTATTACTACTTAAAAAGAAAAAGCTAATACTTCATATTTTATTAATTTGGAAGAAAGACAGAGGTGCCTTGAGGTAAGTTTGATTTGTGTGTGTGTATGTGTGTGTGTGTACATTTGTTTTAGTTTTGTATATGTGTGTGTGTTTGCTGGTACTGGAGCTTGAACTCAGGGCTTGAGTTCTGTCCTTTAGTTTTCTTGCTCAAGTCTGGCATTTTCCACTTTTGATTTTTTTGGTGGTTAATTGGAGATGAGCCTCATGGACTTTGCTGGCCTGGTGCTTCAAACTGAGATCCTCAAATCTTAGCCTCTTGAGTACCTAGTATTATAGGCATGAGCCACTGGCCCCCCAACTCCCAATTTATATTTTATAAAAAATTGTAAAAGTGCAATAGGATCATATTGCTATGAAAT